CCCCCCCCTGTCCTTGTGTTCTGCATTTGCAAAAAATAATACCCCCCAATCTCGATGCGTGTGTATGCGCCCGTTCGCGTGCGCCCTCTCCCCCCCCCCCCGGCGAATGGTGTTCGGCGGGAACACCGTTGGCTGTTGATCCACCAACGAACACAGCTGCTCCTTTGCCAACGATGGATCGTCACGTGCTTGTACTACCATCGCAGGCTTGGTGCCCGGGGGTGGGCCATTTCTCGGCAAGCGTGGCCCGCGGCGTGGACCCGGGCGAGCGATCCATCCCCCTCCCTCCCGCTCCCCGCATATTTTGTGCAATCCACCGTTTCCCTGTCTCTCTTCCCCCCCCCCCCCCTCCGCCCCCTCTTTTTCCTCCCTTCCCATTTCCCGCCCTCCCGTCGCCTTTCTTCGCCCTCTCGGATGAGCAGCACCGAGAGCAACTCGCAGACGGGCTCCCCGCAGCGGAGCGCCGACCTGCCCCAAATGCCCCCGACGGAGGTGTCCACGCCTGCCCTGTCGGACTTCTTCCAGATCCCCTGTGTGGACACCTTCTCCGAGCTGGAGGGCCGAAAGCTCTACGCCCCGGGCGCCGAGCTGTCGGATGATGAGCTGTATGGCGACTCGCCCTTCGGCGGGCATGGTGGCGACCCCGATGACATTGCCTTCTTCGAGGCATCCACCACGGGCGGTGCGTCCCTCTTCTCCCGCCCTCCTTGGGTGCCCCCGCGATGTTCCCTCGCTGTGCTTCTGGCCCCCCCTCCCACCCCCCTGACATTCCTTTGGCTCCCTTGCGATGCGCTCGTTCGCTCGCCTCTTCCATCTCCCCTCTCCCTCCCTGCACCTCGCCGCTTAGACATGACCAAGCGCTACCTCCGGGCGGTGAACGCCACCGGCGCCGGTGTCGGCGTGGCCGGGGCCATGAATTCGGCCGCCGTCCAGCGCCGGGCCAAGATCGTCACGGCAACGGCCCGGGCATTGAACGAGGAGAACAAGCAGCGTGCCCTGCAGCAGAAGAAGCGCGACGAGCAGCGCGCCGAGCGGGAGCGCCTTGCGCAGGAGACCGCGGCCGCGGCGCAGGCGGCCGCCGACCGGGCCCGCGACTCCGGCTGTGCCGAGTCGGCGGACCTGGCCCAGGCGGCTGCTGAAGCCGCTCAGGCGGCTGCCTCCCTCCTGGCCGAAACCGACAGCGACTCGGACGAGGCCTCGGAGGGGGCCGGTGTTGGCGGCGCGGCCGGTGCTGCCGACAGCAAGTCCGGGCTTTTTGGCGTCAAGCTGGCTGCCCTGCAGGAGCGCATCAATGAAAGTGCGTTCGCCACCTCCTGCATCGGCGCCTGGCCTCCCTCTCGCCCCTCCTTCCCGGTCTCTCTCTCTCTCTCGCCTGCTTCTCAATCTCCTTCACTTCTTTCCGGCTCTTTCTTTCCTCCTCCCCCTCCTCCTTTTCATTCTCTCGTGTTGCCGCTGCTAACCATCTGCCTCTCCCTGTCACCAGACATGATTCAGGACTTCAGCGCCGGCTCCCAGGGGTCACGCAAGGCCGAGGGCTCTAAGTGCGTCGCTCCTCCGCTGCCCCTCATTCCCCCTTTCCAGTCACGCCATGACCTTGGCTGTTTCCCCCTTTGTCCTTCCTTCTCAGGGGCTGACTCTGCGCTCACAGGACTCGCCATGCGGACAAGGCCAATCGCGCCACCACCGAGCAGGTCCTGGACCCGCGCACGCGCATGATTCTCTTCAAGATGCTTTCCCAGGGGATTTTCTACGAGATCAACGGCTGTGTGTCCACCGGTAAGGAAGCCAACGTGTACCATGCCCTGACCGGCGAGGGCGTGGAGTATGCGGTCAAGGTGTATAAGACCTCGATCCTGGTCTTCAAGGACCGCGACAAGTATGTCACCGGCGAGTATCGCTTCCGTCATGGCTACGGGAAGAACAACCCCCGGCAAATGGTCAAGACGTGGGCCGAGAAGGAAATGCGAAACCTGAAGCGGTGCGTGCTTTTGCTCTCCTCTGCTGGCCCCCATGGCCATGCATGCTTTGCTCGGCGGCCACCACCAAGACGCACACACACACACACAGCACTAACATGGCGCCGGCGTGCACAAACACACCTCCCAGTCTCGTGGCTGCTGGCATTCCCTGCCCGGACCCGGTGAAGCTGCGTAACCATGTCCTGGTGATGACCTTCATCGGGAAGAATGGCTGGTACGCGCCTCCTCCTTTCTTTTTTTCCTCTTTTCTCCCCCGGGCTCTCTCCCATGTGTCCCCCCCTCCCCCCACCTGTTGCCTTGTGGTCTTCTTCGCTTCTGACATGGCATCCTCGGTATTTCCCCCTTCCCAGGCCTGGTCCCCGGTTGAAGGACGCCCAGCTCCCGGAGAAGGCCTTCCCCGAGCTGTACATGCAGCTGGTCCGCTGCATGCGGACCATGTACCGCGTGTGCCGGCTTGTGCATGCGGATCTCTCCGAGTACAACATCATGTGCGCCTCGTCTCCTCCCCTCCCCCGGATCCCCCTTCCCCGCGGCCATTCCTCTTTCCCGACGCCGGTCTGTCCTTGCCGTGGTCTTTCTCACCCCTCCCCCCCTCCCTCCCGGCGCACCCCAGCTACTACAAGGGCATCCTGTACATCATTGATGTGTCGCAATCGGTCGAGCACGATCACCCGTATGCGCTGGACTTCCTGCGCAAGGACATCGAGAATGTCACGGAGTTTTTCAAGAAGCGTGGCCACATGACCACCGGCATCATGTCCCGGCGGGAGCTCTTCGATTTCATCACCGGACGCGATCTGGAGGACGACCAGGTGGATGCGTACCTGGCGCGGATTGCCGTGCGCGAGGAGGAGGTCCTGGACGAGGCGAGCGCCGCCGCGGCCGAGGTGGCCGAGGAGGTCTTCATGAATGCCTACATTCCGCGCAACCTGTTCGAGGTCATTGACGTTGAGCGAGACGTTGGCAAGGTCCTCCGCGGTGATGGTGATGGGCTCATTTACCGGAATCTCACCGGCCTGCAGACTGAGACCGATGGGTCGGTGGTGTCGGCCTCCGGCGAGGAACCGGCCATCCTCGAGCAGGTCCCCTCCGAGGGTGGTCCCGATGGGGATGACAGTGAGGAGGAGGACGACGATGAGGCTGCCGGGCCTGACAGCGACGACGAGGATGGCGACAGCGACGATGACGCCGTCGATCCCACTGACAAGAAGGCCCAGCGCAAGGCCCACAAGAAGGCCGTCAAGGAGGCCAACCGGGAAAAGCGCCAAACCAAGACCCCGAAGCATCTGAAGAAACGCCGCGAGAAGGAAGCCAAGAAGCGGTGACCGTGCGCATGCGCACATGTCTTCCCTCCCTTGTGGAGACATGCGCATGCGCCCGGGCGCGCTGAAGAGACCCCCTGTGCAAGTGCGAACCATGATGCCCTGCTCCCCCGCGTGCCCATCTCGCGCGGGTGACAATATAGACAATCTCTGGCCGCTGCGTGTGTGTGTGTGTGTGTGTGTGGCATCGACGCGCGGGACCCGCCCTGCTGGAGTTGCCTCTCTCCGCCGGGGACCGAGAAGTGCACATGTATGGCAGGGGCTGCAAAAGGGCGGCGGGGACAAGGGCCAGGCTGGACATTCAGAACCGCCCGGAGGGAACAGAGTGGACATGTGGGCGTGTATTGTCGCCGATGGGGAGGGTCGTGTCTCCGCGCGCGGGGGCGGGCATACGCCGCCGAAAGGGGGGGGGGGGGGGGGACAGAAAACTAAGGGCAGACCAGCGACTCCGATCGCGCCGTGGACATGGGATGCGAAAGAGCGCGGGAGATATCCCCTGCGGGCGATGGTCCGCGTGCTCTTTTCTTTTTTTCGGCTTAGAAGTCAAACTCGGCCTTGAGGATGGAGATGGTGTCGGTGGGCGAGTTGACGTGGTGCCCCTTGACCGACGGGTGGTTGTAGATCTCAAAGTCATTGCCGCCCTGGAAGGTCTTGTCGCCGAAGAAGTGGACCGTGCGGAAGCCCTCGCCCGCGAGGTGGCGCAGGCAGAAGGTCTTGTCCCAGCCGGTGGGGAAGACATCGAAGGAGATCTGCCCGCCGATGGAGTAGGTCATGTTGAAGTCGGGGAAGGCCTTGACCAGCTCGGCGACCATGGTCTCGCGGATCTTGTGGGCCTGTGGGCAGCGCATGTGCAGGAGCGAGCGAGCGAGCGAGCGCGCGACGTCAGTGGATGGCGCCAACCATGGCGGCAGGGCTGCAGGAGGGGAGAGGGCCAAGGGGAAGCGGCTCACACGCCACGAGCGAAGGCCACGTACAAGGTCATACTGCTCGAATTCGATGCGCTCGGCCTGGCTGCAGTTCCGGCCAATCGGCGAGACGTTGATCATGCCATTGCGGTACTCGAGGAAAGTGCCACTGCTCGCAGGAGGCATCATATGGGGATTCACCAGGGGCGACAAGGGCCCATGTCAGAGTCAAGGCTTGGGAGGCGGGGGACAAAAGGAGGAGGAGGATGGCCCGGGCGGCCAAATGCATTGGGGGCAAGGCGCGCACCGCTTCTTGGGGATCTTCAGATCGGCGATGTAGCGCAGGATGAAGTTGACCAGCTCCTGGTAGCGCTCCTCACCGAGGTAGTCCAGGAATTTCTGAGAGGCCGGAGAGCAGAGGGTCAGCAGGAGAGACATGCAGGGGCTCGGCTCGGCCGAGGGCACGGCCAAAGGGTCGTCGCAGGGGGGGGGAGGAGCGATGCGAAATGCGCACCTGCTCGCCGGTGCACTTCTCAAGGCGGTAGGAGGTGAGGCCATTCTCGGGGAAGGCGAAGTCAAACAGCTCGAGGACTGGGAAAGAGCGCGCGCACGCGCACGAGGCAGGACACGCTCGCGGTCAGAATCCAGGCAGAAAACCACCCCAGCGCAGTGCCCACCCCCGGGGGGATGGAGGAGGGTAACGAAAGGGGACCGTGGCCGAGGCGAGGACAGGCAGGTAGGCGATGTGCCGGCTCTCTCCCGGCTCCGGGGCGGCATGCTACGTACTGTTGCTGCCGAGCTGCTCCTTCTGCTTGACGAGGTCCGAGCCACCGACAAAGCCGATGACATAGTTCTTACGAAGGTCCTTCAAAACCTGGAGCATGTCCTCATTGACAAGCTACACCGAGGACAGGTGGGGCACCATGCACAGGCAGCCCCGAGCGGGCAGGATGCCGATGAGAGGGGGAGTCAGTAGCCGGGGCAGAAGGACAGCGCCGCCCAGCCGGGGCGGTATGCGGAGAAGGGCGGCGCACCAGACGAGGCACGGTCAGGGTGCCGTCGACGTCGAAGAGGATGATGGTGTCGCCGTGCTTGCGATCAGCCCAATCGGTGCGGAGCTTGGCATCCACCGGGCCATTGAGGTCGAAGGGGTTGGCACGAGCCGAGATCTCGGCGCTAGACAGGACCTTCTCAGTGGTGTTGGTCATGGTGGCGGGTGAAGGGCGAAGGGCAGGAGGGGAGAGGGGGGCCGGAAGAGGAGAAGTCGAAAGTCGACAAAGGGAGAGGGCATCGAACGCGGTGACGAGGACGACGGCTGGCCGAAAAGTCCTTCACACACACACCGGCGGAGACCCCTCTTAAATAGGCGGAAATCTCAGCACGGGCGAACCAACCGATCTGGAGAGGTTGAAAGGTGTCAACCATCGGGCGAACAGGCAACACGGCTTATTTTGTATTGACAGATGAAAAACTATAGTGATGCCTATTATAAAAAATAAAAAAGAGAAAAATACAATAATATATCAGAAAATACACCACTTTCTGGACATAATATCGCTCCTATTTCCGCAAAAATATGTGCAAACTGCGTCCTTATCATGAGTATTTGCGTACATCCAGATAATAGTATGGTCCTATGTGGTCGTTTTGGCGCTCGTACTTGCCCATCATCGTTTCCCCCCATCCACGCGATGGGTGTTGGCCATTGTTTACAACGCCGCCCCGGCCCGCCCCAACAGACAGGTATTTCGCTCGGCACACGGCTTGGGGATAGTCCAGGCCGTTTCAGTCGTCTGTCCATTTTCTTTGCCGTCTCCGGTCCCTCCGATCGGGGGCGTCTACATGTCACTGATGACCGGAGGACGGTCGGGGATGCCCGTTCTCTCTTCTTCGCGCGTCCCTTTCCCATCGGGCTCCCTGGCTGAACACTGCCCGGGTCGATCTTGTCCATGTCCCACACGCCGGACTCCGCCC